GTTTGAGTCTAGAGTGACACCTAGGACTTTGGCTTGTGGGGTGGGACTGATGATGGCGTTGTTGGTCGTGATGGAGGGGGGGGGGGGGGGGCACGAGCTAGGGGGGAAAATCAGGAGCTCAGTTTTGGAAAGGTTCAGTTTGAGGAAATGGAGCGACATCCAGTCTGATATGTCGTTCAGTAGGTGGGTGATATGGGCGGAGACTGAAGAGGTGAGGTGAGGGGTGGAGAGGTAAATTTGCGTGTCATCGGCATAGAGGTGGTAGTTGAAGCCGTGGGAGTATATCAGTTTGCCAAGGGAGGAGGTGTAGATGGAGAAGAGAAGGGGCCGAGGACAGAGCCTTGGGGGACCCCAATAGAGAGGGGGAGGTGGTAGCGTTATAGACAATGCTGAAGGAGCGTTGGGATAGATAGGAGGAGAGCCAGGAGAGAGCGGAGTCTCTGATACCAAGGGAGTGTAGTTTATTAAGAAGGAGGGGGTGGTCAACTGTGTCAAAGGCCACAGAAAGGTCAAGGAGTAGGAGGACTGAGTATGTGGTTGCCAATCCATTTACGCAGCACTTTACATATATATTGTACATTCACATGCAGTCCCTAACCCTCAAGGGCATTACATAGAGCTATTCAAAAGAAATGTATCCGTCCTTTTCTATCACCCAGTTATGGTTAGAATTGAAGTACTGCTTTACAAGGCGGTAGGGCTCGCGTATATACAGTCATGGCCGAAATTGTTGGCACCCTTGATATTTTTCCTGAAAATCAAGTATTTCACACAAAAAAGGTATTGCATTTAACATGTTTTGCTATACACATGTTTATTCCCTTTGTATGTATAGTGGAACAAATATAAAACAGAGGCAGAAAAGCAAATATGACATAATGTCTCACACAAAACCCCAAAATGGGCTGGACAAAAGTATTGGCACCCTGGTAACTTAATATTTGGTTGTTCACACCCTTTGGAAAAAATAACTGAAATCAGTCGCTTCCTATGGTACCATCAATAAGCTTCTGACACCCTCTCACCCGGGTTTTGGGACCACTCTTCCTTTTGCAAAACAGCTCCAGGTCTCTCTTATTGGAAGGACACCTTTTCCCAACAGCAATTTTAAGATCTCTCCACAGGTGTTCAATGGGATTTAGATCTGGGCTCATTGCTGGCCACTTCAGAACTCTCCAGCGCTAGCTTTGCCCATCCATTTTCTGAGTGCTTTTTGACGTATGTTTGGGGTCATTGTCTGCTGGAAGACCCAGGTATCTTGGACGCAAACCCAGCTTTCTGACACTGGGCCCTACAAGTGCGACCCAAAATCCTTTGGTAATCCTCAGATTTCATGATGCCTTGCACACAGTCAAGGCACCCAGTGCCAGAGGCAGCAAAACAACCCCAAAACATCATTGAACCTGGCCACCATATTTTACCGTAGGTACTGTGTTTTTTGTTCTTTGTAGGCCTCATTCGTTTTCGGTAAACAGTAGAATGATGTGCTTTACCGATAAAGCTCTATCTTGGTCTCATCTGTCCACACAAGACGTTTCCCAGAAGGCTTTTGGCTTACTCAAGTACATTTTTGGCAAACTGTAGTCTTGCTTTTTTTATGTCTCAGGTGTGTCCAGCAGTGGGGTCCTCCTGGGTCTCCTGCCATTGCGTTTCATTTCATTTAAATGTCGACGGAATAGTTCGCGCTGACACTGATGCTCCCTGAGCGTTGCAGGACAGCTTGAATGTCTTTGGACAATGTTTGGGGCTGCTTATCACCACCATCCGGGACTAATTCTGCGTTGCAATCTTTCATCAATTTTCCTCATCCGTCCACGACCAGGGAGATTAGCTACAGTGCCATGGGTTGCAAACTTCTTGATAATGTTGCGCATACTGTGGACAAAGGCAAATCTAGTTCTCTGGAGATGGACTTGTAACCTTGAATTGTTGATATTTTGCACAATTTTTGGTTCTCAGGTCCTCAGACAGTTCGCGTCTCCTCTTTCTGTTGTCCATGCTTAGTGTGGCACAGACATGGACACACAATGCAAAGGTTAAGTGAACGTCTCTCCTTTTTATCTGCTTTCAGGTGTGATTTCTATATTGCCCACACCTGTTACTTGCCCCAGTGTGAGTTTACAGGAGCATCACATGCTTGTAACATTCTTTATTTATCCGCAGTTGTGAAAGGGTGCCAATACTTTGTCCAGCCCATTTTTGGAGGTTTGTGTGACATTAAGGTCGAATTTTGCTTTCTTTCCTCCCTTTTTTTGTTTTGTCCCCAATACACACAAAGGGAATAAACATGTGTATAGCAAAACATGTGTTAATGCAAGATTATACGTCCTTTTCGTGAGAAATTACATGATTCCTGGAGAAATATCAAGGGTGCCAACAATTTCGGCCATGACTGTATACGTGATCTGCATTCCACAGGGTAGGGAGTGCGCTCATGTGCCGCCCTACCCGTGCCGCTATCGGCAGTTAAGAAGTCAATCACTGGGTCCCGGCTGGCGATTCCTGGCCGGCACTCGGCGATCGTCCGGCAAAGCTTGACAGGGGAGAAACCTGTGTGTAAAAAATAACACAGGTCTCTCTCCTGTCAGTATGGACATGCTGCTTTGTATCTCTCTGCACAGCATGTCTCCCTAGTAAAACAGCACACAGAAAAACACACAGCACACAGTTAACCCTTTGATGGCTCAGATGTTAACCCCTTCCTTCCCAGTGTCAGTAGTACAGTCTCATGGCTTTTTATTAGTCACTGTATTGGTGTCATTGGGGATGTCAGTGACACCAGTCAGTTCTCCCCCCAATGTCAGAATGCCCGCCGCACTCCTGCTATACGTCGCTGATTGCCACCTTTACTAGTAAACAAAAATTTTAAAATTCCAGTATATTTACAGCCATAAACGCTATAACGTTCAGGTAAACCAATTACTTTACACGTATTGGGATTGTTTTTAGCAAAGACATGTAGCAGAATACATTTTGGGCCTAAATGTATGATGAAATTAGATTTTTAACACTTTTATTTACTGGACATGTTTAATAGAGCAAAAAGCCAAAAATATAGTTTTGTTTTTTTTTTTTTAAATGGACTGGTTCAGGTAGTAGGGGCAAATCCTCTCGAGGGGCAAGTGGTCTGGCAGGATCACCAGGGATTTCACACAAAGGAAGCAATACAAAGAGAACAGAAGACGGTTTTTACATGGCACAGCAGGCACAGATCAGCAACATGAAATGTTGGGTTGACATACTCTTTAAAAAAAAAAAACCTGTATATTGTAACATACTGAAAAATTAGATTCTGAATTTAAATACACTTTGGGGTCTATTTTAAAAAAAGATTTGCATAGCCATTCATTCTAAAAAATCTGCACTTACATTGACTATATGTGATACTTGTGGCAAAAAACAATTGTTCTTTAGTCTATTTGCTCTTCTGAAACATTTGTTTTATTATGGCTAGTGGTAAAATACCATATTATGTCCACTAAGGTGGAGCTGAGGAGCATAGGAAATACATAAGTCCCTATAACACAAGAGCTACAATGTAACAGCTATTGGTTACATTTCTTTGATAATTTCCTTTAGCTTTCTAAGAATTGTTACATTGTATCTCCGTTAACCACTTCCCATTCCGCCCATGCACATAAAACGGGCCGGCACGGGAGCACTGCAGGAGTACTCTGTGTGAGAGGTCCCGATCATCACGTGAGATCATGATTGGCCAATCAGTGATCACATGAACAATAGTAAGCAAGATGTCACTTCTGACATCATTGCTTAACTACGTGTGAAATCTGTGAATGATCACAGAGGTCACATGGTACAGGGCTATTCACAACAGCCTTGTACCATGTGACAAGCTGTGACCAATCACAGCTTCTCACAGTTATTTCTTAATGGCTGCAAGAATGCAGCCAGAGTGAAGAAGAAATTATTGCTTTTACAGCCTTTATGCTAGGGTACTGCTAGGATGACAGTATGTAAAAAAAAAACCACACATAAATAATATTAAAAATATTTAAAAAATGTAAAAGAAAATTTAGAAAAATTATAATTTTTGGTTATAGTAAACTAATTTGGGTTATTTTTTTTTTTTTTTACTAAAAAAGATAATTTAATACATTTTGGCCAAGATTTATGAAGAAAGATTTATTTTATTTGCAAAATGTTATAAGAAAAACACTTTTTTAAAAACATTTTGGACTTTTTCATTTATATGGCAAAAAAACAAAAAACAAAATCCCAGCGGTGAATAAATATCACCAAAATAAAGTTTTATCTGTCTCAAAAAAATACTAAAAAAATTCATATGGGTACAGTGTTGCATGACTGCGCAATTGTCATTCAAAGTGTGATAGCATGAAAGCTGAAAATTGGCCTGGACAGGAAGGGGGTGAAAGTGTCCAGACTTGAAGTGGTTAAAGCAGCCCAGTAAAATGACTTCTGTTACACTTGAAAGGCAGTTGCAGGCGCCTTCAGCTGCGGCTCCTCTCTGTACGCTGGGAATTACATACTATATGATATTAATAATTCTTGGAGCTCTCCTACATCCATTCACACTTTGTTTCCTCTGTTTCCCTTCATTTTAACCAGACAAAGGTGAAAAAGGTGAGTCCATTTCTTAGTATAGATTTATTTGGGTGTAACCAGCAGCATTAAAATACCAAATGGGTTGGAAAACTTTTTTTATAGTTAAAATGTTCTATTTTAACATACAGTATATGTGAGCCCAGTACCTGGAAAGACACCCAGGAGGGCAAAAACGTCTAGTAGACCTGCGCAGTTCATTTCGTTCTGAATCAAAATTCCGACTGAATTTTCATTATTCTGAGATTAAGATGTATCTGAATTACCAAATTACAATAGTAATACATTTCATTTCTTCCAAGCCGCCCTATAGCAGAAATACTGCTACAGGGTGTCACCGATGTCACATGATTTTGTAATTCCCTGTAGGGGGTGCACGCACCCTTCCTGTGCCACCATTCGCGGCCTCGGTTGTCAATCACCGGGTCCCAGCGATCGCCAAGTATTACCATTGGGGGAGAGACCTGTGTATAAACAACACTGATCTCTCCCCTGTCAGCTCCTGCACACTGCTTTGAATGGCTCTGCATGACAGAGCCATACAAAGCAGTGTGCTTACAGTGTAAAGCACACAAATAGCACACAGTTAACCCTTTGATCGCCCCACACGTTAACCCCTTCCTGTCCAGTGCCATTGGTACAGTGCCAGTGCTTTTTAGTAGCACTCAGGGGCGGACTGACCATTTGGAAACTCGGGCACTGCCCGAGGGCCCGGGGTCAGTAGGGGGCCCCATGAGATGCCCCTAGTACCTTTTTCATAGGCTTTTTAGAGTTTGGGCAAGGACACAGGGGCCCCATGATCCCCTATTGCCCGGGGGCCCCATGAGTTGTCAGTCCGCCCCTGGTAGCACTGATCACTGTATTGGTGTCATTGGGGATCTCAGTGACACCAAGTCAATTTCCCCCAGTGTCAGAATGCCCGCTTCTATCCAGTATATATACAGCCATTTTTAAACACTATAATTGTAAACCAATTAGCTTGCACGGACTTGGGATTTTTCTTAGCAATGACATATAGCAGAATACATTTTGGATTTTTTAAAAATTTTTTACTGGATATATTTAATAGCAAAAGTCAAAAATATAATATATATATATAAAATATTTTTCTTAAAATTTTCAGTCTTTTTATGTTTATAGCGCAAAAAATAAAAAACGCACAGGCAAACTAATACAACTGAAAGAAAGCTCTATTTGTAGGAAAAAATGGACGTAAATTTCATTTGGGTGCAGCGCAGGGGCGGACTGACCATTCGAGCCCTCGGGCACTGCCTGAGGGCCCGGGGTTAGTAGGGGGCCCCATGAAATGCCCCTGGTACCTTTTTTTTAGGTTTTTTTTGTGTGGGCAAGGACACAGGGGCCCCATGATCCCCTATTGCCCGGGGACCCCATGAGTTGTCAGTGCGCCCCTGGTGCAGCGTTGCATGACCGCTCAATTGTCAGTTAAAGTTATGCAGCGCCGTATCGCAAAAAATGGCCTAGTCAGGAAGGGGGGTAAATCCTCTGGAGGGCAAGTGGTTAAATGAATCTGAAATAAATGAAATTTCGTCCGAAATTCAAATCAAATTAGAAAATGAAATCGAATTCGAAAACAAATTCAAAATATAAACTTATTTCTGACTATTGCTGATTTCCTTCAAAGACATTGGGGTTGATTTATTAAAACCGGAGAATGCTAAATCAGGTGCGGCTGTGCATGGTGGCCACGCTGTGGCGAGATCTGTCACCGGCCGTGTACCTCGGACATGGACGATGACAGATCTGTGTACCGGCCCAATTGCCAGTACCATGTGACCTGCTGTGACCAATCACAGCAGGTCACATGACAGTTGTATGCAATGGATGGCTTCCTTTCATGCCATCCATTGTATATAAGTGTGTCTAACTGTGAATTTCACACAGCATCAGTGTGAATCAGGGCGTATTCTGTAAAAACCAGGCAAAAACAAATGTTCTTTTGACTTTTTTGCTTCAGAATAATTCTTTTTATTATGGACAGTAAAAAAACACTGTATTATGGCCACTAGATGAAGATGAACATAGAAAAGACATATGCCTTTGTAAGGAGAGATACAACATACAAATTCTGGAGGACGCTAGAGGGAAGTAGCACATACTTATGACTATCAGTTTATTTACTAATTCCCTCCAGTGTTCTTTAGAATTTTGATACAGTATCTCCATTTAACCATTTGCCGCCCGCCCTATGGCAGAATAGCGGCCAGCAAATGTCATCAGCGTTCCAGGTGGACGCCATATGGCGTCCTCCCGCACATGCGCAGATCGCGCTCCTGCAGAGCCGCGTGATCTGTCACCGACCATGTACCTCGGACACGGCCGATGACAGATCTGAGTATCGGCCCCTGTTGCCGGTACCATGTGACTTGCTGTGACCAATCACAGCAGGTCACATAACAGTTGTATACAATGGATGGCTTCATTCATGCCATCCATTGTATACTAGTGTCTAGCTGTGAATGGTCACAGCGATCACATGCACATGTCATGTGATTAGCTGTGGCCAAATCACAGCTAAGTGCAAAAACAAAAAAAAAAAAAAAAACCCTGAATGAATCGATGTCATTCAGGTAAATGCTTGCTTATAGCAAAGTAATTCTTTGCTATAAGCAAATTGTGTAAAAAAAAAAAAAAATACTGATCACTTCCCCAAAGTAGTACAATGTTACTATGGTAACATTGTACTACTTTGGTCATGGTGAAATATGAAAAAAAAAAATCTTAAAAAAAATAATAAAAAATAATTTAAAAAAAAAATATTTATTTATTTTTTCATACTGTCACCAGTCAGTGTCCCTGATCACCGCCATGCCAGGTATATGATGATGCTGTACTGCACTGGTGACAATATGTAAAAAATAAATAGTGAATCTATGTTTTTTAATAATTTTTTCATTTTCTGAAAAATTATGACAAAAAAAAATAACTTCAAAAAAACTCGCATTCCTCTTATGAAGTACGTCGGACTGTCTACTCTGCAAAAAGGGGTCATTTGGGGGATATCTGTACTATTCTGACATTCTTGGACCTCAAGAAATTAGATTGGCTGTCAGTACTTCAGGATTGATCAATATTCAGATCTATACCATAGTTTGTGAACTCTATAACTTTCCTACAAACTAAAAAAATACATCCTAATTTGGGTTATTTTCACCAAAGACATGTAGCAGAATATATCTCGGCCTAAATTTATGAAGAACAATTATTTATTTACAAACTTTTTATAACAGAAACAAAGAAAAACTTTTTTTTTTTCAAAATTTTTGGTCTTTTTTTGCTAATTTAGCAAAAAATAAAAAACCCCCAGTGGTGATTAAATACCACCAAAAGAAAGCTCTAGTTGTGTGAAGAAAATGATAAAATTTTAGTTTGGGTACAATGTTGTATGACCGCACAATTGTCATTCAAAGTGTGAGAGCGCTGAAAACTGGCCTGGGCAGGAAGGGGTAAAATTGCCCGGTATTGAATTGGCTAAGCAGCTCCATAAAAAATAACCTGCGAAAAAACAGGGGAAAAAAAGTAAGCCTAAAAAAAGAAAAAAGAAATGGACAGCATAGAAAATGTAAATGATTTGAAAGAAATCAAACAAGTAGCTAATAGAATTCATTCTAAAGAGTATTTTTTGCATTCACTGGCTTGAGTAAGCTACAAATCAGACTGTAGGGGCCCTAAGGACCAAATAGATGGGGGAGGTTTACTAAATCTTAAGCACTGAGAATCCAGTGTAGCTGTGCCTAGCAGCCAATCAGCTTCTAACTTCTGCTTGTTTAAGTGTACTTTAACAATAAAACCTGGAAGCTGATTGGTTGCTATGCAAAGTTGCACTAGATTTTACACACTGGTTTCTATTTTATTTATTACATGTACTTATATCACAGCATCAATTTACACATATATATTGTACATTCACATCAGTCCCAAACCCTCAAGGGGCGTACAATCTAAGGTCCCTAACTCACATTCATACATACACATACTAGGGACCAGGGGCAGACAGACAACTCATGGGGCCCCCCGGGCAATAGGGGATCATGGGGTCCCTGTGTCCTTGCCCAAACTCAAAAATGCCTATGAAAAGGGTACCAGGGGCATCTCATGGGGCCCCCTACTGACCCCGGGCCCTTGTGCAGTCCCCTAGTTTACAAATGGTCAGTCTGCCCCTGCTAGGGACTATTTAAACAGGAACCAATTAACCTTCCATCATGTCTTTAGAGTGTGGGAGGAGACCAGTGTATCCAGAGGAAACCAGTGTCTCCAGAGGAAACCCACACAGGCACAGGGAGAACATGCAAACTCCAGGCAGGTGGTGCTGTGGTGTGGATTTGAACCAATGACCCCAGTACTGCCAGGGGGAAGTGCTAACCATTCAGCCACTGTGCTGGTGCAGAGATGCGCCAGATTTTACACTCTCCAGTTTTAGTACATCACCCCCATTAAGTGTCAGAGGGCCACAGGTTGGTCACCAGAGGCTCCTTTCTGCAGCTGTCAGTTGGGAAGTACATATGATATTAACCTCTTGGCGCCGGCCGAACGCAAATGTGCAGCCCTCTCGGCGTCTGGGCCTAGAATCCGAGCGGCCGCACATTTGAGTTCTATTAAAAAAAAACATGTGTGCTGAGAGTGTGCGCCCTGCATGCCTCCAGCACACATGTCCGGTACTCACAGAAAGGTCCTGATCTCCTCTTTCGATCAAGATCTTTCCCAATCATGGGACCGCCAAGACGGTGTGTCACGGCGGTGACATGACCCTAAACTCCGCCCCACCTCCCGGCTTCTGAAACCCTTAAAGGGCCAGGAGGCGCCGGCGCCAAGGGGTTAAACATGCTTGGAACTCTCCTAAATCCATCCTAACTTTGTTTCCTTTTTTTTTTTTTTCACTGTATTTGAAACAGACAAAGATAAAAAAGGTAAGTCATTTCTTTATATAGATATATCCTCCTATCAATAGCACCATTTCCTGGCTGCCCTATAGCAGTTTTACTGCTACAGGGCAGCCGCTCTGCCCAAAATCACGTATATACACTACATTGGCAAAAGTATTGGGCCGACCCTCCAAATCATTGGATTCAGGTGAATAAAATCATCACCTAGGCATGCAGACTGCTTCTACAAACATTGGTGAAAGAATGGGTCGCTCTCAGGAGCTCAGTGACTCCAAGCGTGGTCCCGTGATAGGTTGCCACCTGTGCAATAAGTCCATCCGTGACATTTCCTGGCCACTAAATATTCCACGCTCAACTGTTAGTGGGATTATAACAAAGTGGAAGCAACTGGGAACAACAGCAACTCAGCCCCCAAGTGGTAGGCCACGTCACATGACAGAGCGGGGTCAGCGCATGCTGAAGCGCACAGTGCGCAGAAGTCGCCAACTGCCTGCAGAGTCAATAGCTAAAGACCTCCAAACTTGGTGTGGCCTTCAGATGAGCACAACAACAGTGTGTAGAGAGCTTCATGGAATGGGTTTCCATGGATGAGCAGCTGCATCCAAGCCTTACATCACCAAGTGCAATGCAAAGCGTCAGATGCCGTGGTGTAAAGCACGCCGCCACTGGACTCTAGAGCAGAGGAGATGTGTTCTCTGGAGTGACCAATCACGCTTCCCTGTCTGGCAATCCGATGGATGTGTCTGGGTTTGGCAGTTGCAGGAGAACAGTTCTTGACCGACTGCATTGTGCCAAGTGTAAAGTTTGGTGGAGGGGGGATTATGGTGTGGGATTGTCTTTCAGAGGTTGAGCTTGGCCGCCTAGTTCCTACGAAGGGAACTCTTAAGGCGTCAGCATACCAAGATATTTTGGACAATTTCATGCTCCCAACTTTGTGGGAAGAGTTTGGGATGGCCCCTTCCTGTTCCAACATGACTGCACACCAGTGCACAAAGCAAGGTCCATAAAGACATGGAGGAGCCAGTTTGGGGGTGGA